GCTCAATACATCACTAGAAACTGCAATAAATGACTCATACAAATCATGTTATTAGATCTCATAAAACTAAAAAAACTATCATAAAAGGGGCTTTTTAGCCAAAATGGTCCCTGAGATTTGCATAACTCCTCACTTTGGTCCCCGAGATTTGAAATAAATACAAGTGGTCCTAAGATTGTCCACCATCAATCATTTTGGTCCTTACGTAAATAGTTATGTTAAATAAAGATTAAAATGACAAAACTACCCTCAACTTAATAAACGATAGAACAAAATGATTTGACAAAAGTTAAGGGTATTTATGTTATTTTATCCTTATTTAATCTAGATTTTTCACGGAATGACCAAAATGATTGATGGTGGACAAACTTAGGGACCAATTCTATCGATTTCAAATCTCAGGGACCAAAATGAGGAGTTATGCAAATCTCAGGGACCATTTTGGATAAAAAGCCTAAAAGGAATAATAGTGCTTTAAGGCTGTGTAACAATAGAACTTCAGATGAAGAATTTACTCCAACATCAAGAAGGCTAGATATAGACATGAGCAAGCATCCAAAACTTATTACTAGTACGCTGATCCAATATTCAACTAAGACAAGCACCACATAGCAGATGTAGTAGAATGTGAATACCGAGCAATATGAAGGGTATGTTCTACACTGTTTAAACCCTTCTTACCAAATTGTCCCGGAATATCAAAGACAATGCCTATGGCATAGACATTGTAAATATTTCACTTCACTTACTATGCCCTGCCTACTTTACTCTTACCAAGTAATTTTTTCTTGCTAGACTATCAATCCGGACCATTGGTGAGGTAGAAGTATATGCGCATGTGCAGGCCTAATTCAGTCTGGCTGCATAACATGCCAAAAACGTAACTAGAGATATTGCTAAATATAAAATTCTAAGACACTGTAAAGCCATCAAATACTTCACTGCAAATCCCTTTTGACATACCTTCAAGACCTAACATAAACTTAGTGAAGCAAGAAATGGATAATCATTATGCACAAGCATGAATGCAAGACAAGTCATTCATAAGAACTCAGATTCACATTTGAAAACTCCAAGAAAGAACAATAAGCAATTTAGAACAAAATAAAAAATAAAAAATGCAAAAACCAATATAAGAATGTATATTGCTCTTCAAATACAGTTGGACATACATTGGAAAGCCTGAAAGGACAAAATTTGGGTTTTCCTCTGCGCCCATACTTGAGCAATTGTGCCCCTTTTTTCAGAGCAGTGATGGCCTGCTTTGAAATGAGCACAGAACATGAATTAGATCAAACTACATATTTTCTCCAAACTGATAACTGTACGGAAAAGAAGGATATTAATAGCACTGCAGAACAAGATGAATCAGTGGGGATTAAAAAACAGCGCACTGTTAGTTGCAATAACATCCAACTAAATGTATGAATGTTGCTACATCTATTTGAAAAACTTAAGACGTCACTTCTATTAGAACATCTGCGTTTTGAGGCATATGAAACAGCTATTCATCAAGTTTCATTCTTTCCCATTTTTTCCAAGTGCGCACTCACACACGCAAACATGTGCGCATATCCATGGGAAATAATCCATACCACAATCCATGTAAACGGCAATGTAGACACGAACAGTGAGTTGTCTACTAAGTGCGTACACAACTCCTTACATATTCACTAAGTCAATCCAACAACAAATGCGGCATGAGATTATGCTGCGGATAAACAGCTGATTCGGTGACTATAAGTATCATTCATATTTATGTTTCTTCGTATTGCATTTCTCATCGACACAGCCAACCTTTCAAACTATAAGAGCTGGCAAATGGTAATAACAAGGAAAAGAACTATCAAAACCACAAAAATACGAATTAAATAAAAATTAACCATAACTAATCATTAACGACGCTTCTAATCCATTCATCAACTACACTTTCAACTTCATAAAAACAAGAAATTCAATGAAAAAACTAAATTAAATTAAAATTCCAAAGTGAATGAAACTTCACCAAGTCAATGTCCCTTTCGAGTGGGCCCGCCTTTGCCTGATCCGCAGTCATCCTGTCCATACGCAGCATCAACAACTCAATCCCCCTTTCCCTTCCGAAACCCTAACCTCCATCGCCACCACTGCACCTCCCATTGCCTCCTTCCGCAACTCCAGTTCTCTCGCCCTCTGCCTCGCCAGAGACTCAATCAGAGCTGTCGATTGAACTTCCCGACGGAGATCAGTGATTCGAATTGAAGCTCGTTCACTTCCGAATTCGAGGCAGCTCGGAATCGAGCTCGGAGAAGAGGACGAATAACAACAATGGCGACGGAAAAGCACGGAGTTTGTCCCTAAACGACGAGGCAATGCGGCCTAAAAATGGTGGTTGCAGTGGTGGTGATTTCCAAGGTTCTCGGCGTCGTTTACTTCGAGGCACAGTGTTTGTATGGGAGATTAACTCGGGCTGTGCAGAAAAGGAAAGCGACCGAAAAAGCGGGGGAAAATAGTGAGAGGAGAGAGAGGAGAGAGAGAGAGCAGAGAATCTGAGTGAGTGGAGGTGTCGAAAGTGATTGATTGATCCGGTGGGAGACTGAACTGTGCCGTTTGCCTGCTTTTTTTTTCTTTTTCAATTTATATTTTGATGTTTGTGCTAGCAAGTCAACTACTGACGCCATTGACCAATTGCCACGATTGAATGGAACAAGGGGGATCACTTGTTTTTTTTTTTTTTTTTTTCCTTCTTCTTCTTATCTTATTGTGTTTAGAATTGCTTTTAAAATAACTCAAAATGTTTTTTATGAAAGTGTATTTACAACTATTCATTTTTTTGGGATAATTATCAATTCTTAGTAAAATTATAAGTGAATCATGAAAAACCAAAACACTTCAATTAGCACATAATTAGTGCTTCTTTCAAAATACACTTCAGTGTTTTTAGAACCAAAAAACACTTTCACCAAAAATATTTTCAATTATTTTAAAAGTACTTACATACGAGTCCTTTTATTTTTATGTATTTAAATGTTGGAAGTTGAAATTTAAGATTATTAAGAATTTTATTTTCTAGAACTTATGAACGTTCTTATTTGCCTAACCTAAAAGTACAATAGATATTGGGACAAAATTTAATTGAATAATGAAATAAGCAACGGAAAACAGATAAATAATATACAATACGTTATCCTAATTATATTATGGTTGGTTGTAATTTTCACGATAATGAACAAAGATTAGGAGATTGGCTAGAATCTTTAACCATGAATCGTGCTGCTTTGTTGGATCATCCTCATGTTCGTGATCTTTCTCTTCATGATTAATCACGTGAAACTTTTCAAGTGTTGAGTATTTAAGAGTATCCACATTGAAAAATCTAGTAATGGATGTGGAGTGATTGATATAAATTTGCTAGAATCTTGCATCAATGAAGTTAGGCGACACTAAGATGTGTTTGGCTTAGGACTTTTCCATCTTTTCTCCAAGGGACAAAAATGAATAAACATAGGATGTGAGAAAACACAAAGACTATATTATATGTATATATAAACGTTTGTAACCCCCATGCCGCACCTCCTATGGAGTTTTGGCATCATGGACGTTCTAATGCACCAAGCCCAATCACTTGCCCTATCTCATGCGTCAAGCTGGATCACTTGCCCATTTTGAGCTCGTTATTTGGACCCCTTTCGCTTAAATAAATCTCAAAGCCTATTTAATTAAAATCATGTCTTAATAGGCCCAAACAATTAATTTAATATAATCAACAATTATAATTATATTTTATCATCATCTGCATAACGTTAGTGTAACTTATCATAGGTGTTTTACCTCTTGGGTTCTAACCTGTCATCCTCGTGGAATAAATAAACTTTTTTATTTTTATTTTTAATAAACAATATTATTTACACCAAGAAGAGGGGGTGGACTTAGCCTCACAATGTGCTAGCAATAATGTGGTTCAAATTCGCCTTTGGAGAGAATTGAACTTAAGATCTATCACTCATAATAGACTAGCAATAATGTGGTTCAAATTTGCCTGATAGAATAAATAAACTTAAACTCGAATGATATTCAAAACCTTTTGCATAATATTCAAATCCATACAATCCCAATTTCCACAAATTCAATAATATCCAAAACCAAACACTGTAAATTACATCACCAAAAATAGATTGGGATTACTAGGGTTTTGGAAATTGCTCAAACAATTCTGGATTTCAAATTTTTCAACAAAGACGGTGCAAAATCCTTTCCAGTCGGCCCCCTTATTTTTAGTAGGAAAAAAAATATGAAAGCTTGAGATGGAGAAAGGATTCAACGATCGTGATCTCCGAAGGGATTTGACGTTTGTCTTTGCCGCTGGAAGCTCAAGAGTCGCTGCGTAAGTTTTTTCAAGTTTAGGATTTTGATTAAGTATAAATGATATGGTTTAAGCTGATAAGTTTATTTATAATCTAATGGTTGGTCTGAAAGAGGTACTCACATGTATTTAAATGAGGATCTTAGAATTAGAACTAAAGCCAGAATACTATTGACAGTCGATCTCCATACTATTCTGCCCTTTATAGTAGATACATGCACACAATCTGGCCTCTTTTGCCTTTCCAATAGTTTATTATTATGCGGAGACAAACTTTTTAATACGTACTTATGAAAAATTATAACTTATTACGATATGAAGTTCATTTCTACGTATAACTGCTCTAAGATGGGATCATAATTTTATATAACTAAATAAAAGTTATTCGTATATTGAGTATTACTACAGAAAAATTTTACTGTACAAATACGATTCCATGAAGATGTTTGTTTCATTTGGTTAACACGTTCAAACCTTTAAGCTAACCTTATTTTTATAATTCCCTACCCGCCCTCTAGCCCCTTGAACTAACCATTTTTGACGTATAAAGATGTAATAGCCTTTCCTCTGTTCATTTTAGAAAGTCATAATGAAATTGCATTGCGTACATATTTGACTAGCAAGAAAATAACAAGGAAAGCTAAGAAGAACCAAAAAAAAAAAAAAATAAAATATTCTATAGCTGACAAAAATTCAATAAATATTTTCTGCCTGTTAATTTACAATCAGATCTAAAAGAAAAAAAAAATAGTAGAGAAGAGAAGTCTATTGAAAACTATAGAGATCAAAGGTCGTTTGATCTACATTGTGGCACGTAATGTGAGACGCACATATATCAATATTTGACAATCCATCCATCATCATTCTACTTGATACTTCCTAAAAGAGAGAAAATTGATCAAGTGCTCATGAAGTAATCACTTCCAAGTCATTATATTTGTTCTTGTTCTATCTGGCAATGAATCAACTGATTGTGTTAGTTCCATGCCCTTTCTTGTTGACGTTGGGTTGGTCTTCCATGTCCACACTGCTTCTGCCCTTCAACATGTGAGGTCGAAGCTTGTTCACATCGGATAACTGTACTGGTTTAAGGAAAAACTCTTGTGCTCCTTCCTCCAAGCATCTGATCAATAATAACCCATCAAACCATGTCAGATCATGATCATATATATAATTATATACATATATAATATATGTGTGTGTGTGTAATGATTAAGTGTACAATAATTGGATGTGTATTTTCAGTGGAGATATATTAAAATATTCTCCTAATTACCTGTTGATCCTTGATGGCTCATTCTCTGACGACATAATAACAACTGGTATGTCTTTAAGCACGTTAGATTCCTGCAAATCAAGTAAATTTTTATTAGGTTTTTGAGGAAAAACTATACCTTATTACCTTCTATGGATCTGCCAATTGCGTTAGGATTTGGAACAATTAAAATTTATTTGGACTTGAATTACAAACTTAGGACTTTGTAGATCAAATACTTTTTTATACTATATGATGCACCAAAATTAATCATGGGAAATTAAAAATGGGTGAATTTTCTTTTTGTTCAATCTATATTTTAATTTAATCTAAATTAGGGGGATTCGAATTTGGATGCAGAGCAGGAGGATAGCAAAATTTTGATCTAAAATATTTGGATTGTAGTTGTAATATAAATCCTATGCTTTGATGAAGATTTAGGGTCCTGTGTTTTACCTTAATCTTTCTGAGGAGATCATAGCCTGTCATTCCTGGCATGCAGTAATCTGTAATGATCAAATTTACTTCAACCTCCTGGTGATGATTATCTGGGGAAAGAGAGGGAATATCTGCAGCACTCTGATCATCTTGTTCATGCAAACCCAAAAATTCCAAAGCCTTGCTTCCAGAATCAACAGCAGTAACTGTAAAAAATGCAAATGAGAGAAACCCAAAAGATTTAGCACTCAATTAAACAGAAGTACATAAATATAATCAACATTTTTAATAAAAATAAATTGAAAATGTTTTTTTTTAAGTGAAACAATAGCAGTTTTATTAGAAAATTAAGAAATAAAATAAATAAAAGCATTTAAAAAGGCACCCTAGAGTAAATCCAGAGAGTCTTCAAACCAAAGAGACTCGAAAGCGAAAAGCAAACCTAATTTGGCCAGTCTAATAAATTATCATGTTGACGTATCTATAGGCATGACAAGCATGAAAAGAAGCAAAAGAATGCATCCAAATCTTGAAATCATCGTGCTTATTGATCAAATTATACATTTACCTTGATAAGAAGAAGTCTTGAGAAGTCTCTCAATCAACTTTCTGTCAATGATGCTGTCATCAACAGCAAGAACATGAAACTGATGAGCCTCTGCAGCTGCCAAACCCATATTTCTGACCTTGTAATCTCAAAGGCAACACAAAAACATACAAGAAGGAAGAATACGAAGAAGAAGAACAGGAGAACTACTGAATATTATGGTGATGGCGATGGTAAAACGAGAGAAAGGGTGGGTGGGATTTAAAAGGGGAAGCCATCGGAGTCAGTGAGATAGAGAAAATCCTCTTGGAAATCTGACAGATTGGAAAGAAAGATCCGACAGATTACGTCCAGAATCTTGAGGATCTTCTATGTTGATTTTTGAATTAGCGAACAGACAAAGAAGGCGTTATTTTTTCTCTTTTATTTTTTTTAAATTCTCATTTGACCTTTCAGAAAATTGACCATTACGGTCCAGTCTGAAAATTTTGCCTTATTATTAGACTTTATCTTTCTTGATATTGTTTTCAAGTCAAGATGTTGAACGAGATTATTCACCAAAAAAAATCCACGAGATTTTGATACCTTAGTAATGAACAATAACAACTTACACGTAAAGAGTTATCTCTTATATATATAAACCGCAATTTTTGTATACGTGTTAAACTTTGATTTGCAAATAAAGAGAATAATTCCTTGAACTCAAAGTGAGAATGAGTCAAACAATTTTCATTAATAACTATTAGGTAATGTTAGAAAAACCATTTAATTATTTAAACCACATTTAGTAAACTATATGAAGTGGTTGATGATTGAATTATCACTTAAATGTTGCTTAACATGTTTATTTTAAATTAGTAATATATCACATAATTTATAAGTTTAACTGACCTAGCATTATCCGTACACCCACAATATACATAACTCTATCTGTCAATCAAAGAAGGTTATATCTACAACCAAAGAACTTTTGCCATCAAGGCCCCCCAAAAAACTTTTAGTTTGTCAATTGTTTCATCAAGTGGAGAGTTAATTTCATTCATTTTCGACATTAAAAGCCTTGAAATTTGATGTAGATATATAAATATCAATCCCCTAATTTTCTCACAAATCAATTAATTATTTATTTTCTTTTGTGAGTATTTATTTTAGGCGCATAAAATTGCTCATGTGCATTGCACGACAATTAACAAAAAAGTGTGACAAAATTAAGGGTTGTAGAGATAGAGATATAAATTGTATTAGGGTTCATAACTAAAATGACGGTTAGAGGATAAAATAAAACGAAGTTCATAATTTTGTAAGCATCACTAAAGATTTTCCTCAAATACTATTTTTGATGGTAATTTTTTGAAATGGTACAGTAATTTTTTTTATTTTTTTTTTGTAATATAAATCCCTTATTATGAAATTTAGAAATGGTAATCACTATTTAGGATTTTTGCAGCTACTAGTACGGGGTGCCATTGGGCTTGGCTTCGGCCTTTCCTTTTCGTTACAGCCAAAGGGCACTGTAAGGCAGGAGGTATCAGGTATGCCATCGCATGCACGTTCGTGACCTACTTCATTCTACGTACCAAATCCACGTGTAACCTCGTGGCAAGTTGTGAATGACATCATACATGACGTGAAGTCACTTGTCATACGAATTTCACACTAGGAAGCTCCGAGATAAATGAATATTGCAATGATTGGCTGGCCAGCCACTCACACGGCCAAATGGGGCAACAGCAACTTATATTGAAGGTTGTTTACCAATAACGCATCTCAATTTAATATCACAATGTTGTATAATGAAAAGTTTACGTGTTATATTGTCACATTGTATTATTGAATAAAACAGTATTATGATAACAAATTCATTTGATATAAGTCATTCTTCAAATAGACATGATCTTTGGACTAATACATTTAGGAAAATGTTGTTAACGCACTAACTTTTACATTTCACACTCTTGTTAATTTTTACCATCGATCTTCTTCAAGTCTTTTGAGCCGAAGACCAAAAATTGAAATAAGTTTGTAAGAAGTACAAATGGGTTTGTGAAGAGCAGTACCATATATTTATGAAGGAAAAAAAGAAAAAAGAAAAAAAAGAAAGGAAATGGCGAGAGAGTGGTGGGTGAAAGTGGTTAAGACGATATAATTACAAAATACATCTATCTTGAAAAAGTAACACAAAATTAAAATTTTTATAAACCCAATCTTGGCTTGAAGATTTTGAACTAACAATTGTTTCTCTTTCAATTTTATCCGATGTCTTCAAAGGGACATCCTCTTCAACCTACTGTGTTTTGGTTGCAAACTCCACTCTTATCATAATGTAAATTAGTTTAGAGTATTACTTGTACTAAAAAAAATATATTGTATTCTCTTCAATTGCATATAGTAGTAATAAGGGCAGAGAAGATACCGTTAGATCTCTTGGTACCTTGATGTCAGGTTGTATCTTAAGGGTTTGGGAGGGGTGAATTTTGTTTCAAACCAAAATTGGACTGTAAAATAAAAATTGGAGATGGGATCCTGCCACATAAGCAAACCTTCTAGACGTTAATACAAGAGTGATTTGAATTGTTAACGTTTAACACTCGAGATCCTAAACTTTAAGCTACACTTATAAAATGGAGGATCGTTAGATGCTCGTCGAGTATATTAAAAAGAGAGAGAAAAAGTGGATGCTGTGAGGGTTTTATTGCATGCAAGGGTGAAATTTCAAGCGATTCTTGTTGATTCTCTTGCAATCAGGTCGGAATCTTCCTTCGCCCTTTGGCTTCCTTTGAAATGGAAAAAACAAATAAAATCTCTAAAATCTTGATCTGTAGGCATCAAATCAAATCATATCCTTTATTCGGGTTTCCCAGTATACACAAATCTCATTATTTCAATCCCTGACATTCAAATTTTGGTCTCTCATCGATTCTTCAAATCATCTTAATATATCAATCTCAAATTACACAAAAGCGAGGAATAAGTGGGAGTGTTTTTTATTTGTTTTTCTTTGAAATAATAGACTTTCATTAAGATTAAGTGGAATGGTTACATCCTCGACTTAAAAACAATAAGAGGTAAATAATTCCACCATTACAAGAATGTGGAGTTGGAAAACTAGCTATTGATTTCATTGATGCCTCGATGATGTCAGTGAGGTTGCAGCGACGGAAGATTGGAGTGAACAAAGCAGTCCACGTCAAGTAATTTGTGGTCGTGATTTTGATCAGATAAATCCAATATTCTGAATCGTGATAGATGTAATCGAAGAGGAATTTGAAGAATTGGGGCTTGGATTTGTGGTTGGAGAGGGATGAATGTGAGATGCAGAATTAGAAGAAAGAGATGCAGAGGTTGCCATAACCAATAATAAGGTTTGCAAATCCAGATGAAGGATTAGATTTTGACGAAGAAGATGAGATTTGAGTGAAAGAAAGAGAGGGAAGCGTGAATTGAATCGGGTCGTTAGACAGACGGGTGATACCATATTGGGAAAATTATGATTTAATAAATACGAAAATAAAGTTACATTTGTGTATATATACAAGTCATCAACACACTTAAACTAACAACTCAACCTAACAAACCAAAACTAACATAACAAACTAATCACCTCTAAGTTTTATCTTTAGCAGATGTGAAGTACATCGGCATTGTGGGGTTTCGTGGTCGTGATATAATGGTACATGTTGAAAACTTACACATGTCTTTGTCCTTATATTTTTAACGCCAACTAACCAGCCAAATACGTTACATATATACAAAATGAGGCCATCCGACATCCCATCGTTAGTTAATAGACTGATCTTAGAGAACAAGCAAAAGTGATTTTAATAGCTCAAACCTATCAGCAAAGCCTTTTAAAATAACTACTACTAAGTACTAACAAATAGCTTCAATCAGAATCATCACATGCATAAGATATATGAGGCTTGCTGTGCAATGCCCTTAGGTAGACTTTTGTTCTCGCTTGTGTGCTTGTGGTTCTTTGAACGTTGTCTAACTAGGATTCAACTATTATCTTCTAAGGTTCGAGCACTTAATCTTTAGAATGTGGTGGACTTACTTTGTGTTTCTCTCAAAGACGCTAGACACGAATTAGAAATTATGCAGGCAACTTTTGTGTGGAAGTTTATGACTCTCTTGATCAAAAACTAATTATTGTTGTATTGTCAAATTTGATTTCTATTGTAGCTACTTAGTACTATAATTTAGCGATATTTCTTTTCATTTGTAAGTGAGAGGTCTTAGGCTTGATTCCTGCAAAGACGAATTTAACCACCTCTTAGCATAATAATATCGTTTATTGAAAAAAAAAAAATGATTCCTATTGTCCACCTTATATAGGGCTGGTTTGGTATTGCTGTGCTTTGAAAAAAAGCTACTTCTGGTGTGCTGTAAGAATAAGTAGCTGTGAAATAAAGCAGAAGAGTGTTTGGTAAACTTTTTTGTAAAAGTGCTTTTGAAAAAAAAAAGTAGTATTATAGTATTTGGTAAACTTTTATGTAAAACAGATGTGAAAAAAAGTCGGTTTTTCAAAGCTGGGTTTTGCAGATTCTTGTTTTTGTCTTTTTTTCACCCAAAACTGTGAAAAAAAGCTGAAGCTGAATGTTTATCAAACACAAAAACAGTTCCCAGCTTTTTTTTATACCAGTTTTTTTCATAATCACCTTAGCACCAAACCAGGCCATAGACATGTGAATGCAAAGGTTGTAACCTATTAGAAGAGTTACAAACTTCTAATTTGACTCTCAAGTGAATTTATGTTTTACTTAGGCCAAATTACTAACGAAAGAGATCAAAACTCGAATAAGTATGAAGAAATCTCTGAAACAGATCCCGTTTGACTAGCCGTTTGACATATCCGACCGGTCATCTCAATTCGTAGAATTGACCTCGTGCCTTCTAAGCAGGTCGGACTAGTAACTTGATGTTTCCGACCGGTCTTCGTTGTTCGCTATTTGTAGAGTTGATCTCATGCTCTCTGTGCAGATTTGATCGGTCATATCGAAACACCTACCGGTAGGGGTGGGTGGGTTCAATTCTATTTGGTTTGACGCGGATCTAAGTTATTATTCGATTCGGTTCAATTTTTTTTTCGATTTTTGTTCAATTCGGTTTTTTTCTTGTTCGGTTTGATTTTTTTTCTAAAACTTTTTCTTTTTAAGAATAATACAAATAATGCCGAGTTCAATGAAAATTAGTTTATTGTCCCTCAAACATTCCATGTAATCCCTCAGTAGAGGAAACGCATTTCACATCAATAGAATCGAAATCCACAGATATTACATAATCCCTCAAACACTCCATGTAATCCCGCAGTAAAACACTTACATGTATTGATTAATATTATGGTTTAATTCCTCCGTTTGGTATAATTCTGAAAAACAAATCTTTAGATAAAAACAATAAACGCTTTATATAAAATTTCAAATTCATTCAAATCTAACACAATTTCT